ATGGGGTTGGAGCTGGGATGGGGTTGGAGCTGGGATGGGGTTGGAGCTGGAGCTGTGCTTGTGATTGGGGCTGGTTGTGCTGGGATTGGAGCTGGGTTTTGGGGTTGGGGCTGGGATTGGGGTTGGAATTTCTCTGCAGTGGGGTTGGGATTGCTGTGCAGTGGGGTTGGGGCTGGGGTCGCTCTGCAGTGGGATTGGGTTGGGATTGCTCTGGGATTGCCCTGCAGTGGGGCTGGGATTGCCCTGCAGTGGGGTTTGGGTTGGGATTGCCCTGGGATTGCCCTGCAGTGGGGCTGGGATTGCCCTGCAGTGGGGTTGGGGTTGGGATTGCTCTGCAGTGGGGCTGGGATTGCTCTGCAGTGGGGCTGGGATTGCTGTGCAGTGGGGTTGGGGTCACTCTGCAGTGGGATTGGGTTTGGATTGCTCTGGGATTGCTCTGCAGTGGGGCTGGGGTTGGGATTGCCCTGCAGTGGGGTTGGGGTTGGGATTGCCCTGCAGTGGGGTTTGGTTCCTGCTGGGGGTTTGGCTCTTTCCCGAATAACCCCCAGGTGTTTCTTTGCCCCCTCAGATCCTGCCAGCCCTCTGTGTTTTAATTCACCACACGGATGTAAATGTGAGTGACCCCTCTTAGTGCCACTTCCTGCTCCTGCTTTAGGAGAAATTCCATTTTTTAAAAAATTAAAGTATTTTTTTAACTGAAATATAAAATAATTAAAATCTATGACGTTCCCTCTGATTAGGACAAACCTGTTTGGCCAGCTATTCACTGCTTATTATAAAATATGGATGTTATTTTTAAATAGTGATTTTTTTTCTTAGTATTTGTGGCTTTGCAAGTGTTTATTTGCATGTACTTTCCCTGCACTTATAACTGAAACTGCATTTTATTTTTATTTCTGTGAGCATTCATTCACAGAGAAGTACAGGAATTTTTTGCCTAGCACTTAAATTTGTAATGAAAATCAGTGTGAATGAAAGAAAAGTCAGTGTCTGTCATGTCAAATGTGAGGGTTAGATGTAACTTCTGAGATATGTTAAATATGAAGTTATTAAATAGTCAAGTAAATGAGCAAAACTTTCCTGAAATTATGGAATAAGTCAGCTTTTTGTCTGAACATAATTCAGAATTTAAGATTAAAAGTTGTAGCTGAGTTAATGGCAACAGTGCTCTGCAAAAAAAAAGTCTGTATTAACTTTACTATTCCTGTAGTAATTATGTGATGTAATTTCTTGTCTCTAAGGAGGTAAAATTAAGTTTATTTAAATTTTTGAAATGCTTTTATTGGTGAGCCATTCAAGAACTGTCAACTAAAACAACTCAATATTTTTGCAAGCTCTCAATTAAAATGCTCACATTTCCTGCTATTTAAACCGACTTTTCTGCAAGTGAATGAATTCCAATTAATAGTAAATAAATCCAGAAATGTGCATTATTGTGGAGCTCTTGGTGTGCTGTTGGCAGAGCTGCTGTTGTTTCCTGGCAGATATTGGTAGATACAGTCTGGGCTCTGTCCTATCTCACCGATGCTGGCAATGAGCAGATCCAGATGGTGATAGACTCTGGAATTGTCCCTCACTTGGTTCCTCTCCTCAGCCACCAGGAAGTCAAAGTCCAGGTGAGTTTGGATCACGTGGAGCAATCCATCCCCCAAAATGTGCTATTACAGAAATCCTTGCTTTTTATAGCTCACTATTAAAAAAAACCAAACAACCTAAAATTGAATTTAAAAAAAAATTTAAATTTTTTTTTTCCTGTGTGCTGCTGCATTTGCATAAAACCTTTATATGTGCTGAGCTTTGCTGAAGAAATGTTGTTTTGAAAGGCAAAATGTTTTGTTTTCAGACAGCTGCACTGAGAGCTGTGGGGAACATTGTCACTGGCACCGATGAGCAGACACAGGTAGTCCTCAACTGTGAAGCTCTCTCACATTTCCCAGCACTTCTGACACATCCCAAAGAAAAAATTAATAAGGTGAGCAACACCAGGGATTTTATCTGATTGGTGATTTTTATATTTGACTGAGCAGTATCATAAAGATGTGAATAATTGACTCTTTCCACCAGTTCGTGGCAAATTTCAGCAAATACTGATTATTTTCTTTGTGGCATTAATATCTACAGGGAAGAGTGTTAGGAGCTGCAGATTTGTGTTTGACAGCAATGTCAATATAAGAAATCGAAGCTTCCTCTTGGAAATCTGGCTTAAAAATTGGAGTTCAGATTAGGTGAAATGTCAAAATGTCACCCTAATTAAACTGACTCTGGTGGAAGTGATGACACGGAGCTGAGTGGGTGTGTGTGTGTGTGATGTGGGGAGGGGGCTGAGGCAGGGCTGGGGGTCTGTTTGTGTGTGTGTGAGATGTGAGGGGGCTCTCCTGGGGACACTGATGGCAGTGCTGAGCCAGGAGTGCATCTGAGGCGTGTTGGGCACCTCTGGGGGGCCACTCTGCAACACTGCCAGTGATTAAAGCCCCAAAAAAAGCCCACCAGGAGAGCCCCAGGCACCCAAATGGCTCCCAGGGTCACCAGCGATCCTGTGATCTGATCTCACAGAGTCAGGGAGTGAGGGGTGAGCATTGCTGGGTCTTCTTTTGAGAGAAATTCTCAGCTAGGAAAGTTCTCATTCAGGGAGGTTGAGAAGGGTGGAGAGTTTCCAGAAAGGGAGAAACTTAACAGCTGTAGGGTTTTAAAAGGTTGATACTCTGAATATACTTAAAATTCTTTTTTAAAACTGTTACTTCTTGATTAAAGTGTAGATTGCCACTCTAAAAGGGAAGTGAGGGCTCTGAATTTCATTCAGGGAGGGGCTGCTGGGGAAGAGATCTGTTCGTGCCTGGGAGGAGAGGCCTGGACACAATGGGCAATAAAGAGTCCTAAACTTCAGAATATTGTTAAAAATCAGCTGTTGAATTAATAACGCTGCATTTTCCTGAAGCCAAGAAGAAACATTAGGAAGGAGGTAAAGAGCTGTCACCTGCACTGCCATGTCTGCAATCCAGGATTTATCAGGCCAGCAGCTGAAATCTGCTTATGGGCAGTGCTGGAAGCAATCAGAGGTGCTCATTTGGCATTTTCTGTCTCCAGATAATTTTTCCTTTGAATTTGAAGTATTTGGTTGAAGCTGGTAACAGTGAAAGACTGAGGATCCTTGTGAAGTGTCCTAAGTGAGATTGTCCCTTTGCTTTGTCCTAGCAAAAATTGAGCTCTGCACCATCAGGGCTGATGGAGAGCTTGGTTGTGTTGAAGGTTGGCCAGTTGCAGTGGGTATAAATGATGTAGAATCCTTCTTGTGAACTAATCCCTGATGTTTTATTTTGCTGTGAACTAATCCCTGATGTTTTATTTTGCAGGAAGCAGTGTGGTTCCTATCTAACATCACTGCAGGAAACCAGCAGCAGGTTCAGGCAGTAATAGATGCAAACCTTGTTCCAATGATAATCCATCTTCTAGATAAGGTCAGATCCCAAGGATTGCTGTTGGGGCTTCAAATCCTGCCATTTCCACCTGTTGGTGTCTTTTAAAAAAGTGAATTCCCAAACCACTCTACTGCCAAGTAGAAAGAAGGAGCAGCTAAAAGCATGTGGGAATTCTTTAAGGGAAAAGCCAAATAACACAGAGCTGGACACAAACAATTCTGTTAATTGCCAATTTATTGATCTGTGAGGAAAGTTTGGGATGGAGCAGCAGCCCAGCTGCAGTGGGGCAGTGTTTTATCCCAGCTGCTGCTGCTGAGGACTGCCAGGGTGCAGTGCTGCAGCCCCTGTTTGCTGTCAGGTAATCAGAGTTCTTTCCCCTGGAAGAACAATTGCAAACCCTGCTTGTAGGGAAGGGATGGACACACAAACAGGCTGGGATTTATTTGTTACTCTCACAGAAAAGTGCTACAGTGACACCATGCAGAGGGGACTGTAACAAATGCAGCTTTTGTGGGAATCCTGCCTGACACAAACCCTGCAGTGACTGTTCCTGTGTCTGCTTGTGCTTTCAGGGGGATTTTGGGACTCAGAAAGAAGCTGCTTGGGCAATAAGCAACTTAACAATCAGTGGGAGAAAAGACCAGGTGAGTCCAGCTTTGAGGACACTTCCATTGGCTGCCTGGGGAAGTGCTGGGGCTCTGGATGTGTCTGTTCCTTCACTGCTCAGTGATTTCCCCTTCTCCACGTGGGATTTCAGAGAGCCCTTCCCTTGTTTTTGGGGTCACCCCCAGACCAGGAGCATCCCTGGGGCTTTGGTTGGAAGCTCTGTTGGGATGGGTGACTTCAGTCAGGCTCTGATGGGATTCTCAAACATTCCACACTTCTTTTTACCTTTTTTCCCAAACCATAAAGATGTGATAATTAAAAGGACAGCAACCACTGAGTACACAAATCTCCTGTAAGCTCAGAGTATGGAATCTGTGGCAGGGTTGGGGTGGTGCTTCCCTCTCCAGAGATGAGCTTCAAACTCCTTATCTACACTGAAAAATTCAGTGTTTGCTCCTTGGGTGTTGTAAATCTCCAATCTATTCATAATTTAATACCTAAATATTACCTTTGAATGCTCCAAAAAGAGATTCCTGAGGTGGCCACTGCAGGATGCTCTGGGCTGGCTGGGTGACACTCAGAACTTGCACTTGCTGAGATTTGTTTGCTTGTTCCTTCTGTAACTCTTGGCTTTTCCCCCCCTCAGGTGGCTTACTTAATTCAACAAAATGTAATTCCTCCCTTTTGCAATTTGCTGACAGTAAAAGATGCACAAGTTGTGCAAGTGGTTCTGGATGGACTAAGTAATATATTAAAAATGGCTGAAGAGGAAGCAGAAACCATAGCCAACCTTATAGAGGAGTGTGGAGGTAGGAAGAGCAAATATTCAGAACTTTTCCAGGGATTGCTGCTTTGGCATCCTGCTTGTGTTGGGTTTATTGTTGGCACAGATATTTGAAGGAAATCTATTTTAAAGCACCCATTTCGTGCCTATCAGGTGAATATCCACAGCTTTTCCTAAGTTCATGATCAAATAAAATGTGGAAGAGCAGGATAATGGCAGCACAGTTCATTAGGTGTAAATTTTGTAACAGTCTGCATATTAGACAAATGAGTCTAATTAACAGAGACTAAATTAGTCAATGTGGATGTACTTAACATTAATCGTGCACAACACATGTCCAGGTGAACTTGGAAAAAATAATTCTACATACAATGGTTGTAAAAATGTAAAAACTTTAATTTCTGCATGGCTTTGAGACTTTCTCCATGTTGGTTGTGGTTTGAGTTGACTGAAACTTTTCAGGAATGAAAGAACAGTGATATTAAATTTGGGCACAGGTAAAAAACTGGGATTTGTTAACATGGAGTAGAATAATCTTTAAAATACCAAATGTTGAGGGAGTGCAGAAAGGTTAGGTGATGGCTGGGAGGAGAAAAGAGGTGTTTGTGCCAAAACTCAGAGCTTCAGAAAGATTTCTGTGTGCTGAACATCTGCTTATGTTTATAAAATATATATAAATAGTCCAGGTGGGTTTAACAGCATCTTATTCATAACCAGATTACTCCTAACTCTTATTCCCAGATGTATTTTTAATTTCTTTGTTGAAAGCTGTTGATGTTCTGAGATCTCTTGTGTGTTGCTTGCAGGCCTGGAGAAAATTGAACAGCTACAAAACCATGAAAATGAAGACATCTACAAACTGGCTTATGAGATCATTGATCAGTTCTTCTCTTCAGATGATGTGAGTGTGATCTTTGTTCTCATCGTGCCCTTGTTGGGCTCAGGGAGGAATGTTTGTTTGAACCTGTTGCATCTCCTGCCTCTGCTCGTGGTGAAGCATCTAAAGAAGATCTGATGATCGATTTAAGGCTCATCTCTAGGGATTTAAATCCCAGGCTGTGAACAGTTCCCAACAGTTCCCTTCTCTCACTTTGACATTTCCCATTTGCTGAGCCTCCAGGGCTGAGGCTGCTGCTTAAGAAACCAATAATTAATTGGAATATTTGAAGAATTCCAGGAGTGGAATGTGCTGATCAGGAAGGTGGTTTCCATTTCAAACATGGACCATAAATCAGAGGTTGATTTGTGTGTGCACCTCCAATCCAGGAGTTCATTGCAGAGAGGGGAGGTGCAGCCCTGGCAGTGTAGGCCATGCAGGGAGGGATTTCTGCTGGCTTAAAGAACTGCAGAAATTCAGCTGCATTCACTTGGAAGATGATTTTGTGCTGGAGTTTCACTTTGATGTGAACAATAAGATCCAAGTCTTATTTAGCAACTCGACTTTGGCATTTACAGCTGGACTTGGAATTTAATCCAGTGTCACTTTGGGCTTAGTGGTGCTGATCTTCTCCTGAGAGCTGAGACAGTTTCTGAGACTGCCTGAAGGTTTTCCAGGAGAGGAAATGGCATCAACAAGAGGGTTTGGGATGCCATGTAACATTCCCTGACAAATACAACCTGAAACATTTGGGTTTAAATGACTTTATTTTGGTGCTCTCACTAAATTGGGGGAGGGATGGCAGGTCTGGATGCAAGGAGGTGAAGAGGGAGCTGCTTTGGGATTGTCCAGCTTTTGTTGTGTCCCTGCTCACAATATTCCCTTTGCATTCCAGATTGATGAAGATCCAAGCCTTGTTCCAGAAGCAATCCAAGGGGGAACGTTTGGTTTCAATTCATCTGCCAATGTACCAGCAGAAGGGTTCCAGTTTTAGAGTGGTATTTTGGAAGTTTAGGTACAATGCAGCACTGAATAAAAAAAAAAAAAAGGTTTGATCCATCAATCTTGGCTCATGGGATCTGCTGCTGCATTAAATCGGGCAAGTAAATGTGAAGATTTCATTTGGAATCCCAGAAAAGCCCAAATGAAGTCAAGATGGCGAGTGGGTGCGAGTGAGAATGAGTGGCAAAATGTAACGACAAACTTCACACTGAATGCTTCTTTAGATTGTTCAAAGAAAAAAAATTAAAAAAAAAAAAGGGCTACAGGTCACAGATCTTCAGTGCCTGAGAAGGAACACCGACCTCCTGGAGCAACGGGGGGGCCGCAGAACTCTCATCATCAGCATCAGAGAACAGAGCAGGGAGAGCAGCCCAGGCCTGCCTCTGCAGCCCCGAGTGAGTGGGGGGAGTGTCTGCACCGGCTGCCCTGGGGCTGGGGGAGAGAGAGAGAGAGAGACTGAGAGCGAGAGGAGTGCTTGTGATGTGTCTGTGAATGGTGCGAGCTTGAGTCGCCTGCAGGGGCTGAGAATCCTAAAAATCACCCAATGACTTCACAAGTGTTGACTTACACTGGACACACCAAGACCGGTTTAGCAGCAGACTCTGGTTTACTCCTGCAGCCTGTGTTTTCCTCTTTTCTTTT